CAGCGATCTCGAACTCTCTTACTCGCGCCCTAGCAAACGGGGCACGACAAGTCATAAAATTCGGCCGCGAGACGATATCAAGGATGTCCACGGAATCTCGGTCATCTTCCTCCGGTTAAGAAGCCATACAATCAATCGATTAATTGTAGAGTAAATGTCGTGTCGTTGTAATATTGCGTTGTGCGTTAGTGCGATTATCGTCGCGTATTAATGTAAAATGCAGAACAAAGAATATTTTAGAGTACAGAAATTAAGATACATACTTAAACCTGTACATGTAGAAACTAACAAATTTATTTATTTTTATTACAGATAGTCTTATTTTCAAGAGTGTCTTCCTGCAATTGTAAAAACTGTTGGTTTTGAAAGAGAAATACGAGTACATTAACATTTTCGGGCAATAATGAACTTCGATTAGCAGTAACAATATTTCCTGCTGTTGAAAATACGCGTTCAGCATTGGCAGAAGTAGACGGGATTCCTACGAACATTTTTGCAAGTAATGCCCTTATTGAAATATCATACTAAGAATCATTGATTAATTACTTATTTTCAGTATTAAAAGTACAGTATTTAGTAATATTCTGTGATTCAAATACAGCTTTTAGTACTCAAATATTTCAATATTTAATGTTACAAATCCTACTTTATGATTGATTTCAATACTTAAATATTGATATGTAATACTTAGTCCAGTGATAAAATACTTACGCAGAACATTATTTGAACAATATTTAAATACTAATATATAATACTTTGCTAAGTGATAAAATACTTACGCAGAACATTATTTGAACAATATTTAAATACTAATATATAATACTTTGCTAAGTGATAAAATACTTACGCAACGTACTGTTAAGATTTAAAGTATTAACCCAGACAGCATACAATATTAGTAAGTTATTAGATAAATATTTATAAATATTTTTTTTGAATTACTTTTTTAAAATATTATATATATACATAAAGAGAGAGGAAAAATTATGAAAATCTATATTTAAAATATTATTAAAATGTAGAAATATCTAAATATCTAAATGTTTTCCATAATATTTATTGTAAACAAAAAATTAATATTTTGTAAATATTTCTATAAATATTGCACATGAAAAAAATAAATATAATTATTTATAATTATTAAATTAATAAAGAAATAAGAAAATCGAAATTTAAATTGGTAATGTACATTAGAAAAAAATTCTTTAAATAAAAGAAATATATTTTGTTACATATAATTTGTA